TTTAATTAAATCTGTTTCACATCTCAAAGCAAGAATCATACATTATTTGAGCATCAAATTAATTCATACATTAGGTATAATATAGAGTATAATAAAATTACTTAAAAAATACAATTATCCTCTTGGATGAATAGGAATTATCAAAATAAATAAGATTAAAATGAAAAGATACAGAATTAATTCAGAACAAGAAACTATTTTGAATTTATAAACAAAAAAATAAACTTATAAGTATTTTGCACTATATTCTTATTAAGAATACTTAATTTAATACTAACAATGTTATTTTAGTTTAATCATCAAAGACTTTATACTTTATGATTTAATTTATACTAAGTAAAAGTTTCTAATTATCATTATCGAAGCCTGATTTTATTGCTTTCTAATAATGATTCTCATGGTTTAATTAATCAATATTATATTTGTTTTTAAAAAAAATTAATAAGTTTAACATATTATTATTCTTTAAATAAAAAAAATGAAGATGTATAGAAAATGAAAATCCCATAAATTAGAAATAAATTGATATTCATCCAACAATGATGAATGTGATGTTAATTATTTTATTTTATTGCTTAATATTAAAATCTTAATCATACCAATACCTAAGTTCAAATTAATAATACAAAATTAGGTTTTGATGGTTCAATAATAATATATAACTAATATAAAAAAATAAGTTAAATAGACTAATACTTTTTTATAATTTCTTATTATTGGTTTATTGCAGTTCATAAATTAGTTTTAATATGTTTAAATACATATGAGGTCATCATATTGTAATAAATCTAATTCTGCTATTTGAAGAAGAAAGTTAAAAAGGAGCTAAGTTAAATAAATAATTTCTATTCTTCTCAAATTTTCAAAAGCTAAAATTTAATCGAGAGGTTTGATTTTTATTCTTAACTATAATAATATTAATTTCAATTCAGTGATCACTAATTTATCTATATTAGGACTTCTTTAATATAAATTTTAATTAAATTTTGTGATAACAGATATTTTCATTGTAAGCAAGATCGGATTTTAGAATATCAATACCATTTCTAGCTATCCAGGAAGTTTATTTCTAAGTAGATCGCCTATGGAATTAATTGAGTTACGGACTTCCCATCTTAAACTGATATCATCAAAAGTATTAATCTATATTGAATAGAAAATATCTTAGAAGGAGTTTGAAATTAAAAATGTATTGAGAAAGCTTAAAAAAGAATTTCATCCAAAAAGCATGTTGCTGGTTAGGATATAATAAAATCAATTTTTTTGTCTGAGGATCTTCATTTCTACCCTAGCAAAATATGGACTTAAATGTATTCTACGTTTGAATTGATGTATTTCAAATAAAGGAAGTGTGTTATATATGCATGATAAAGGAATAGTTCTGATTTTAAGCAAGAAGTGTTTCTTTCTTCATATGGATGATTCTTACAATTGGCCTCCATGATTTTAAAATTTCACTTTTTTAATGTTAAGGAAAATAGGAAATACAGTTCAAAAAAATTCCAGAGGATTATCAAGAATATTTGAAATCGACTCTGCTATTTTAAGGGAAATAATGTTGTCTGTTCTAGTAAGATAATGCGAATGATAATTCTATGAATAGTTTGAGAATTGCATTAACAATAAGCCAAAATAATGACCTAAGATGAGAAGAGTGTAAGTTCAATGCTATATATTTTATGATAAGACACCTGTAGGGAAAAACATTATATAGCACAGCCTTTCTTAAAGACTATTTCTCAGCAATATATAACAAATCGAAGGATTTGGGTGATTCTTATATCATGTAGATTTAATAAATGCCAAAATTATTGAATAGCCCTGACTCTTCATTTATTATGAATTAATTTGCCTGAAGAATAAATGAAATTACTTGTTTAGAAGAAAGCATGACTACTTCAATATAAGTGCTGAACTAATAAGTTTCAAAATAAGAATAATAATAATAAGAATTTTTACAATAAATTAATCAAGAAATTGTTACTAATAATAAATTAAAGGACAATTTACAAGAATTATCGAATTCAAGTGAATAAAAACTATAATAGTTAGCAACAAAATATGATGATTTAAATAAATAAATAGATGAAGTTTAGTAAGACATATATGGAATGAAAAATTCAACTATAATTTAAGATAAATTATAATAATTAGAAAACAGTATTGATACAAAATAAAAAACAATTCATGAGAAAATAGAAGAATTGAGCAGCAATATTGAAAAAAAGAACACTGAATAATTATCAAAATTATAATAAGAAAAATAAGAACTATTAAAAAAAATTAATGAGGAAAAGATTGAAACTAATTCATAATTAGAATAATAAAATAATAAATTCGAATAAATTATCAAAGAAAATAAAGAAGAATTTACTAAATAGGAAAAATCAATATCATCAGTTGCCTAATCTATTAAAGAGGAAAATTAGGCAAATGCTTAATTAAAAAAAGAAATAAAGGAACTTGGAGATCAAAATTAGAAAGGAATATCATAGTTGGCTATTAAAATTGATAATTAGTCTAAAGAATTAATTATAATAAATTCTGCTTTAGAATATTTGTCCCCAGAGAAAATTTTGTTATACCATTTCAAAAATAGAAATCGCTTAGAAAGTTCAAAATAATATTTAAAATAAAAATTTGTTAATTTTGAGAATGTATTTGTTCATTTTGAGAATGTACTAAAGCCAAATCTACTTAAAGAAGATTTTTGGATCAAAATATTTTATATTTTACAAGAGAAGACTAAAAAAGTTATCAAATAGTCTGATTTGATTTATT